CAAGTATAAATTAATATTATAATATATTAGCATATTGTGTATATATAGGTATACGATAGGTTAGGTTAGGTGTTTAGGTTCTGTTGGCGATTATTTGTATTTGTAGTACGTGGGTGAAGCATTTATAGCGATGTGGTTCGAACAAAACTTGTCAGTGAAGCACTTGTTCCGGAAGTGTTCGAACGAAATCAGTTGTGAGTCGTGTGTAAACCGCTTTTCATTCATAAACAGGGGGTTTGGCGGGTGGATGGAATCACTTTTGGATCTTTGTTTGGAGGACGGGCTGTACACAAAGCCCGGGCATGGGGGGAATTGTGTGAAACCCCGATTGGGCTTCGGAGAAGGTTCGGGATCCTAGTGAGGGCCTTTGCCCTCTAGGTTGCAATTATTTTAACCATGTCGTGGCACAGTTGACTAAGGCGCATCTGGGAACATCCCGTGCGTAGGTTCGAACACTCATCGCGGCCCTTGTGGATTTGTTCATTAGTGACAGTTTGGATCTTTGCAATGACGTATAAATGGCGACGCTAGTACCCACGTCAGCCGCGCGGGGGCGCGCAACTGTAAGTGGTGAATTGAATGATTGTGTATTATGAACCGTGGTGATGGCTGGCTGTTGACCTCGGGGTGACTGAACCTAACCTCCATTTCACTTATGGTCTAATTTGTAAACTATATTAATATCTTTGAGTAACTCAGTATTATAAGTGTATGTGTTAAGGTGCGCGATTTATATGTAGTTCTGCATTCATACGTTCGGTATACATATACATTGTGTACATAACACACAGAGATCACATTAACGTGTTGCATCAAATGAACAAATCCACAAGGGCCATGATGAGGATTCGAACCTGCGTCAGGTTAGATTAAGGGCGAAGAGGGAGAACGGCCTATTGACATAGCTCAGGTGCAGGGGGGAGTTGTGTAAAACCCTGGTTTGTGCCTCGGAGAGGCTACAGGATCCAGTAAGTTCAGTATAACTTCCGTTTCAACTCTTTTACCCTGTCGTAGCTCAGTCGATTAAGGCAGTGTCTGGGATGCTCCCGGACGCAGGTTCGAATCCTCGTCACGGCCCTTGTGGATTTGTTCATTGTGTACAAACTTCACCTATGGTTCGTATAGCTGACACCACCAGTCACTGGTCATTGATCTTAATTAGTGGTCAGAATCTTGAATATTGAATTCTGCGTTATTAATTTTGGATTTTTTATATTGCAAGACGAAGTGTGGCAGCCAAGTAACTCGAGTGTTATATATACACACTGACACATTTTGTCCTCCATATTGCTTACATTTGTCAACACTTTTTGTTAAACTTGTATGGTGAAAAAAATATTAAACTTATCATCATTATCTTCTGCATTACTTTGTGGTCAATTTATACCAAGAATGTAAATTGTGAACAAATGAGGTCAACTGGTTCTCTGCCTGACCAGTATTTGTGACTATGGTATTACTAGACATGGACAAATCCACAAGGGCTGTGACGAGGATTCGAACCTGCGTCCGAGAGCATCCCAGAGGCTGTCTTAATCGACTGAGGCAGCGTCTGGGATGCTCTCTGACGCAGGTTCGAATTCTCGCCACGGCCCTTATGGATTTGTTCATATGATGCATCACGCAATTGTGATTTCTGTGTGTGACCAGACATGGATGTATATACTCAGAAGTGTACTCCGCCACTGTGTATATTCACTGAAAGTTTACTTTAGTCTAGAAATATGTTTAGAAATAAGGTATACTTACTGGGATGGCGAGTAAGTTGTTATAGTGACTAACGAAAAGCCTCATGTTCAACACCAAACAAAACCAGAGTTATGTGTGGTCGTGACCACATCTTTAGTTATTTCCTTCATTCTCCTCCCCTCTAAAAAAAAATAATAGTACAAAACGCATTGTTTGTTTCCAACAGTCGTGTTTTGTACGTTCGACCAATAGTAGTTGATATAAGTACTGTACTTATTAAATGACAGATGGCAAAACCTGGTGGTAAAATTTTAAGCACTTATAATAAGGTGTCTCTTCCCGTGATCTCACATTGGTCGTGTGGTCATCATGCCCACTAACACGCACTCCTACATACACTCCTACATATAATCATGCATTTGGGGCCAAATCTATTTTTACGTAAGTTGGTAAGTTAACACCGCGCCAGCTATGCTTTCAGTAAACAGTGCTAGTGCCAGGGGAGGCCTCGTGATTTAAAATAACAAGTTTGGTCGTAAACCCCCCCCCCCCCACCTCGTTTCCTCATAGGTATAATTCTACTGTTGCTTTAAGCCGTCACGGTAACATCACGGGCTCAAAAACATCATGAAGTCACGTATTTGCAGACACAGGAATCATTGTTTGTTGATCGACTGGCTTGTTACCAACCCAGAAGTCCACTACCGGCTCACCATAGCCCGTGCTACAGGGAAATTTTAGTTCAAGTGACTGAATCTGAAACAACAACATCAACCAATCCAGCTATTGTAGCATCGTGGTTACCGAGATACTTCACAGCCTCCGCCTCTATGCTCATCTTCTCCAACTTTTTACTAACTTCAAAAACGGTCCAACGGTCAATAGGGAAATAGAACTATAATTGATTATTTTTTATTTTTTTTTAAATTGTGTTAAAAATTTGTCCTTAGTTAAAAATTAAAAAAACACAAAATTCGTTTTTAATTTTGTGTTAAAAACTGCAAGCATTTGACTACGAAATATTACGGACGATTTTCCTTATATCGAACCGTTGTGAACGAACAAAAATATGATTTCGTACTTATTTGCATACCTACGTTTTCCTACATGAAATTTCTCATTTGCTGTCGTTTAGAGATGGTGTTCGTGATAAACACATAAAATAATGAAACTAGCTCACCGCAAATGTAAGTTGCTTAGCTTAGAGACTGTGTGAGTGATCGTACTTGAACTCAATGCTGATACATTAAACTGTAACTTGCCTTGCTAAACGAATTTTGGGGTTCAGTCCCTGAGCTTATTACTGTATTTACCTCTTAGCATTTTCCAGTACCGCCCACAATATGGGTATGGGGTGCATAACTAATGTACCTAACTTAAAAACTTTCGTCTTGTGCAACATTTATTGTGTTTTTTTGTAATTAACAAGCTTAGTTATACACAGCACAGAATGCCTGTTGATTGACGGTTGAGAGGCGGGACCAAAGAGCCAGAGCTCAACCCCCGCAAGCACAACTAGGTGAGAACAGCAATATGCTGCTACACTATTCCGTAAGAAAGATCAGTGTAGATCAAAACTACAGAGTATGATAAATTACATAACATTAGACCAATGGACCCTCTTGAAATTCTCCCATGGACCCCCCCCCCCTGTTGGGAACTACTGCGCTTTAGCTTCACGGATGAGTTAAGGAAGCTGTACATCTGTTCCTGGGAGACTGAATCCTCCAGTCTTTGCTTTACACCACCTGCGAGGGTGTGATGCCAAGAAGTCTGGTCCAACTTCTGCCTTATACTATAATTTTTTCTCTTTATTAAATAATATACAATATAAAAATCATATATACATCAATTTACAAGGAAAATACTACATTATATTTAGATTATATAATTCTATAGTAAATAAAATAGTATAGAATTTCTATAGTAAATATAGTAAACCAATGTTTCATATCATCACAAAGCATGAGCCTTAAACCCCAAATGTTATACGTGATCCTACCTTGCAAGAACTTCAATATTTTGTCTACTATACTAGGCTAGTTTAATGTGATGCAAAGTGGCTGTCAGTATTGTGCTAGGCTACGTTTCTTTAAATCTACTACTACCCAACCTCACCCTTTAGGCAACCAGCCAATACACTACTGCTGCAGAGTACATTCCCCGAGTAAATACCAAACCCCCGCCACTTAAGGAAAAGAGCCAATTCTTTGGTTTACAACCACTCAAGGCCAAGCCCGAGTCATAGCTTAGGTCTATAGCCTGGACTAAGCCAATCCCATTACACTGTTTAACATAAAATTAATGAGTGACTCGCTCAGCATTTGTTTAATGTCACTCCATCTCTCTCCACCCGCTCTACTGCCACGATTGGTGGTGATTTCACCTTGACAGAGTACCTACTCATAGGTATTCTATCTATATTCATTTAAATAAATGAATTTTGGTGCATTTCTCTCTCCTACATCAGGAAGGTATTGGGCTATATATATAGTATTTCAACTTGAACTGAACTAATCACATTTTGACGTATCAATCCCCTAAGGCCAAAAACTGACGTACAGAAAATCATAGCGACTCGCAAAATTGACGTGATGTCCCGTTTTCTATTCGCCAGTCCTCGCTTAGGTTAGGTTCGGGCAATCTATTACTTAACCATCAGTTACTTAACCATCAGTCAAGTAACGAGAACGCTCGAGAGGGTAGACTACTTAACTTATTAATCTACCTCGATATGGTTCTAAATTATAATGGCCACATATACTTATATATTGCATCAATTATAGCGAGAAACAGACGAAATAAACACCTATGGAAGTGTTTCATGAGTGTCCTTGGTCCTTTTACCTCATCAAACTTTTAAAAGTGACATTACCAATGCTCAAAAACAGCTTAATTCCAAAATTATTTTATATTACTTGACTTTAGTTACGCCTAAGCAAACCCACTGCTACATTACCAAAAGTCTTAGCAACCTTGCTAAGCCTATATATATACTATCTTACCAAGTCCCATACCAGCAATACTAAGTACCATAACAGCCTTGCCAAGTTCCATAACAGCCTTACCAAGTTCCATAACAGCCTTACCAAGTTCCACTGCAACCTTACCAAGTTCCATTGCAGCCTTACCAAGTTCCTTTGCAGCCTTACCAAGTCTCATAGCCTTACCAAGTTCCTTTGCAGCCTTACCAGGTTCCATAGCAGCCTTACCAAGTGTCATAGTAAAACAGTCTATAAACATGTTAAAAAAAATGAGTTCACGTGTGCCCAGTATGACTTGGAGTGACATATTGCTTCTCTCCTGTACAGATGCGGTGCCGGCGCGCTGGATCATGGCGGTGCTGGGGTGTGTAGGCTTCATGATTGTCTACGGCCTCAAAGTTAACCTCAGTGTCGCCATCATCGCTATGGTGAGTGTATTGTGCTTACGGGTGTAATTACCTAAGTGTAGTTACAGGATGAGAGCTACGCTCGTGGTGTCCCGTCTTCCCAGCACTCTTTGTCATATAACGCTTTGAAACTACTGACGGCTCAAATATGTGTATGTGGGGGTGGGTGGGTTTGGATGTTGTGGAGAAAAAAATATGTATACATCCTCTTCTGCTTCTGAGTCAGTTCCAGCATTGCATAAATCAATTTCCTTCGAGTATAAGTAATTTGGAAAATAATAATATTCAGCTTCATAATTTAATAAAATGGGAATCGAGAACTTTGACAAACCACACAATAGTTGAATACGAAAATATAAATAAATGTTCTTGAGACTTGTGAGTAGCGAACATAAAATGATAATTGTAATTGTAGTTATAATTGACAATAAAGTTATATGCAGTTGATGAAATAAGGATACAATAATTATTGTAACAAAATTTGTAGTGACCACAGGAAATGTTATTGCTCCTTTCTACCTCCTACCTTCCCTCCCTTTCCCCCTATAAATATTTTAATATATCCGCACCCCTCGAACACCCACCCCAATCACCACACCACCTATCCATCTGCAGGTACTGTAGTCCATCCCACACACACACACACACTCATAGGCCTACCACAGCTTAAACCCCAACTACCACACCACCACCACCAACCACACGCTCATACCTGCCCACATCTTGCTCGAACCTAAGTACACAAAACCACAACCAAATATCCAACCACCCGTATCCCTCCCGCACATTCCCACACTACCCGTCCTCATACGCCTAAACCTCTCAACCCCCACAATGCCCGCATGCTTCACCCACCTCCACCAACCACACTCATTATCCCTCCGGCTCCTGTATGTCTGCATTTTGAAATATTTGTAGAGAGGGGGAGAGGACACTTCTGGGTTTAAGAATATTAAATTGTTTTGGGGTATAACTTTCATAAGGCCCGGTGATCCCACTTGATCAGCTACAATCAAAACATATTATTATTAACTTTTAGTATTACTATATTGTGCAGGTGAACCACACAGCTGTGGCGGGGATGAGCGCCCACCACGACGACCTGGAGGTCCACGGCGTCCACCACGAGCCCGAGGAAGTCCACACCACCATCAGCATCAACGGAGAGCCAGTCAACTCCAGCGCTCCTCTCCTTGACTCCTGTGGGAAGGCCGAGAAGAAGGAGGAACTGCAGGTAATTACCTAAATGTAGTTACAGGATGAGAGCTACGCTCGTGGAGTCCCGTCTTCCCAGCACTCTTTGTCATATAACACTTTGAAACTACTGACGGTCTTGGCCTCCATCACCTTCTCACCTAACTTGTTCCAACCGTCTACCACTCTATTTGCGAAGGTGAATTTTCTTATATTTCTTCGGCATCTGTGTTTAGCTAAAATCTATGACCTCTTGTTCTTGAAGTTCCAGGTCTCAGGAAATCTTCCCTGTCGATTTTATCAATTCCTGTTACTATTTTGTACGTAGTGATCATATCACCTCTTTTTCTTCTGTCTTCTAGTTTTGGCATGTTTAATGCTTCTAACCTCTCCACGTAGCTCTTGCACACAGGTGTGTACTCACCTAATTGTACTCACCTAATTGTGCTTGCGGGGGTTGAGCTCTGGCTCTTTGGTCCCGCCTCTCAACCGTCAATCAACTGGTGTACAGATTCTTGAGCCTATTGGGCTCTATCATATCTACATTTGAAACTGTGTATGGAGTCAGCCTCCACCACATCACTTCCTAATGCATTCCATTTACTAACTACTCTGACACTGAAAAAGTTCTTTCTAATGTCTCTGTGGCTCATTTGGGTACTCAGTTTCCACCTGTGTCCCCTTGTTCGCGTCCCACCAGTGTTGAATAGTTCATCCTTGTTTACCCGGTCGATTCCCCTGGGGATTTTGTAGGTTGTGATCATGTCCCCCCTTACTCCCCTCAATTGTGTGTGTGTGTGTGTGTGTGTGTGTAATATTTCATTTCACCAGGGACGTCAGAGCCTTGAACACGGGACGACGGTGTGCCCACAGATGGCGGGGGGGGGGGGGGGGCACTTGGCATCTATGCATTGTTGTGCAACTGTGAAGCGCACACGAAGATTATAGAAGACATTTTAGAGAGAGAAATATATATAAAATATCAGTCTGGTATATATATATATATATATATATATATATATATATATATATATATATATATATATATATATATATATATATATATATATACCAAGTAGCCAGAACGCACTTCTCAGCCTACTATGCAAGGCCCAATTTGCCTAATAAGCCAAGTTTTCATGAATGAATTGTTTTTCGACTACCTAACCTTACCAAACCTAACCTAACCTATAAAGATAGGTTAGGTTAGGTTAGGTAGGCTTGGTTAGGTTCGGTCATATATCTACGTTAATTTAACTCCAATAAAAAAAAATTGACCTCATACATAATGAAATGGGTAGCTTTATCATTTCATAAGGAAAAGATTAGAGAAAATATATTAATTCAGGAAAACTTGGCTTATTAGGCAAATCGGGCCTTGCATAGTAGGCTGAGAAGTGCGTTCTGGCTACTAGGTACGACATATATATATATATATATATATATATATATATATATATATACACATATATATATATATATACAGTATATATATATATATATATATATATATATATATATATATATATATATATATATATATATATATATATATCCCTCTAACGTCCAGCACAAGTGGTTGGGGAAGGGTGAAAGTGTTTTACCACTTAAGTGGGCAAGGGGGAGCTATTGATTGTGAGGTGAAGCATATACTAGCCTGTATATGTACATCATTATGGTGCATAGAAATAATACAAGGAACAGAAGAGCGGGGCAGTCATTACAGTAATGGGGAACATATGAGGGGATAAAAGTGAGGTTGATTAGAGTGAGGATGGGAGCGAGAACACTGGAGACAAAGGGGAAGGCAATGCACATCTAACGTAAGAAACATCTAAGAGAGTCAAAATGCAATTAAATATGCCACTAAAGTTGGCATTTTTACAACGATCTTCCCTAGACCAAACGGAGGAATGTTAAACCCGAGGTGAGGGCAGAAAATAGTACTCTTAAGAATTTGACCCCAATAACTGAAATGAAACCCCTATTTAGACTCTGTGGTTTTCTATGTAGACTCTGTGGTTTTCTATGTAGACTGTGGTTTTCTATGTAGACTGTCGTTTTCTATGTAGACTGTGGTTTTCTATGTAGACTGGTTTTCCCTTCCCAGCGCTATATAGTTGTAATGGCTTGGCGCTTTCTCAGGATAGTTCCCTTCTCACGATGGTCAAGTGGAAGAGTATGCGCCTTGGCAACGCCGTGGTCGTAGGTTCGTGCCCACCTAGATAGCCCTAGTGGATTTTCTCAATAATAATAATTCATTGTGTCGGGGGACAGGTAGCCAGAGTGTATTCATACACGTTAGGCTTATATTGAAGTCGAATTACTGACCCCGCCCAGGATACAACCCCACTACAAGCTGATTTAATTCCTGGGCACCTGCCAACTGCTACGTGAACAAGTGCATTAGGTGAAGGAAGGAGGAAGGAACTATCAGGGGGAAAGCGCCAAGCCATTACGACTATATAGCACTTGGAAGGGGTCAGGATAAGGATTTGGGATGGGACGGGAGGCAGGAATGGTGTCCAACCACTCGGACGGTCGGGGATGGAACGCCGACCTGCATGACTATGAGCGGTGTCAGTCCCGCTTGAGATTCGAACTCGCAATTCTCGATTGTGATTCGAGAATGTCGGGACCCCCCATATAAGAATGACTTTTAGAAATTTTACACAACATGACTCATTTTAGATAATGTGCTGAAGCTGCGTTACGCCAATACCAGAATACTCAGCACTGGCATAGAATCTTCACCTTGTGCAGCACAAAACGAAATTTGAAAATTACAGGTTTGTAACAAGACTATGATCTAAGCTAAGAGGATCACGCTGATGGGCAGACTAAGGGAACTCGGTCTCAGAAACTTTAAAGAGAGAAGGGGCAGAGGAGACATGATCACTTCTTACAAAATTGCGAGGGGGAATATACAAGGTTGACAAAGATTTTAAATTGAGAGATAATGGAACAATAGGAAATCGGTGGAAGCTGGAAACAGAAATGAGTGGAAGAAACGTAAGGACATAGTTCGTACTGTGCACGGGTATTCAACAAGTGGAACGCAAACACGACAAACAACTCGAAGGTCAAAGAAGTTAACAAATATGTACCATGTTCAGAATAGAAGGAGGTTGGAGATAAAGCACTAAGTGTTCGCACCCTGTAGTTTGTGTTAGGTAAGCAGTGGTAGGTAAGAGAGAGAGATGGTGGGGAGGGGAGGTGGATCATTATGATCAGCTGGCGCACTGCCCAAGCCTTGTCTATATGTCTGCGGACAGTGCCAAGACAGCTTGGCATCCGTGTTCTGCCAACCGGCGTTAGTTTCCCCCACCCACATGCATTAGTTGAGCAAGCAAGCACTATATCCTGTTCAAGACAGGACATAGTGCTGACAAGACATATCCCTATGTCGGAATCAAGAGACGGAGTACTAGCATCTCTGTTTATGTTTGAGACTCTGGTTGTACCAGAGCACAGCTTCGCAAAAATGTATCAAACTTTACCACTTGGATCCATATAAATAAATAGGTAACAATCTGCTGTTTAGATTTGGTTCTGTTGTATGCACACACAAAGGATCCAACAAAAATATCATGGATTTTAGAAATAAAATAAGTGTGCTGGAGGCCCATTTCTTTGTGCCTCTGTAGACAGTTGGCAGCTGTCGTAAAACTCGCTGTTTCTGCTGACTTTTCGCATTGTTTTCTGCTGACTTTTTCCATTACTTCTGTTATTTGCTTTTTATATCCCGATCATTGTCACAGCAGGCGTAGCGCGAAATTATCGTTACATCGTATGAAAATAGATTTTCATACCTTGCTTTTAAATAAATTTGCTCATTTGTATTGAAGTAAATCTATAAAAAAATGAAAAAAAACAATTGGTTGAGCATCAAGGAAATTTTTAGTTGACAAGACGAAACATAATTGTAATTAATAAACGTCGGTAATTGACACAGTTACAAACTGTTACCGGAAGAGGCTCCACGTGACTAAAATGTTACTCGTTCAGAGTTTAGGAAAGATCATTTATTACGTATTATTATTACTTGCTATTACTCTTATTACAGTATTGCGTATACTATTATTACTTGCTCGTAACGCTGGGCGTAATAGTGACTTTAGACAGAGTATATACTTGCCTTATCTAGAAATGCAACATTCTTCTCGCAACTCATTATGTTTGTAAATACTTTTTTCACTAAACTTCCCAAAAAGTTTCAGTGATATTTATATATAAATTATATAGACTGATTGTTTAGCATTTTATTCCTATTCCATGAATGGATAATATCCACTTATACTGTAGCTGACCAGACGGGGGTATCCGGGGTATCTCTTACCCCTTCTTTCACCTCTTTCCCCTTCTCTCCCAGCATCTCCCCAACCTTCTGTTCCCTTCTTTCCAGTATATATATCCTCAACTCTACGGAAAACTCATCACCGATTTCAGACTTCATCAAAATCGCGCGGGATGGGGAGGTCACTATTGATGGCCACTCCAATTCACCTATGGCACTCCCATACCCCACCTTCCATGATGCATAATGAAAAGTTGGACGAGGCTAACCCCCAAGTGTCAGGCTTCTACCCTTGGACAGACGGACACACACAGTTTTTATTGTTATTATTATTTTCTACCACAGACGTGGCCAGACATTTACAATGCTAACTAGCATATATACATTTTTTTCTGTCCTCCATGGACAGGGTGAAAGATTTGTCAAACATACAGTTCAGAGATTTATTGAACAACCACAGAAGGTGATCGTAGTGCGTTTAAAATGTTAGGCTAAGCTACATACGTAGATACATAGACACACACAGTGACAGACATTGAAAGATATTAATTTTACAGATATAAATATATAAACGTCGGGTTAAAACCGCACGATAGGCTATCACACATATTTTTCACCTCTTACAAAACCGACAAAGTTTCTGCAGTTTTGATGATAACATATTGGTATTAATTTTTAAATTGTTGAAACTTGAAAACCATTTATTAATTTTTTTTACCTTACTACCTGTAAGAGCAAATGCA